AGCTCAAGGAGCAAGCAGAGTGCAGCATGAATTATTTAATTGATTCTCACTCCCTTTCTCCCATCCTGAGCAATTCACCCGTGGAGGCAAAGGGCCTGAACACAGAGAGGGAGAGGTGCTCAGAACAGAGTACCGGCTGCACATCAGCGGGAGAACATTAGTACTGGGTGGACATGGGGGTGATGGTGTGGTAGAGACCCCTAACAGTTCCTGTACACTGTGAGCGCCACTGAGGATTCTGCTCCCCATTGCAAGTAGGAGCCTAGAAAAGGAAAAGCTTACTAAATCTAGTGAAAGAAGATTGGCACCTTGTACACAGTAGGTGCTCAATAAATGCAGATTGGGCAAGAACACTCAAAGAGATACACGGGAAGTGGATACCATCTGGTAGATGGGATTTTAGAGCCAACAGGCTTCGTCTAGAGTCTCAGTTCTGTCTCTCAGCCTCTATTTCCTCATCTGTGGAATGGGGCTAATAAAATATATCTCCTGGGGTTGTTGATAGGGTAAGCTTGCAATCAGTGAGCAGTGTGTGGCCAGGATGAAGGGACTGGGAAGGGGTTTTAGGCGGAAGCTCCAGGAAGCTCTCCCACGGGAGGAGACTCGGCCTGCACCTTCAGGAAAGCAGGGTTCCCGAGTGCACGAGGAGGCAGAGCTGCCTTGCTGAGTCTGGGACCAGCTCTTCTGTGAGGAGAAAACAGATCCAGGGAGGTGGCAGACCTGTGTGCCAAGGAGTTACAAGATGATGACCCAAGGCTACAGCAGGAGGGAAGGAAGGCTCCAGACCTGGGAAAGTAGAGTCCATTCCTCATTCAGCAGATGCATGGCATGTCCACCAGGGTCACAGACAGAAGAGGGAAGAAGCAAAGTGTAAAGACCTGCTATGTGCTGGGTACTTTTTATGTGCATAAAATTACACACAGTGGCCCAGAGCAGGGCCTCCTAAGGCTCATTTATGGACTGGTGTTCAGGAGTATTCCCCAGGCAGTACTATCTACTTAAAAAATAAGAAATATAGTTCTTGTTTTTTAATACACACACACACACACACACACACACACACACACACACACACACACTGGTTATTCAAGACAGGATTTCTCTGTGTAACCGCCCTGGCTGTCCTGGAACTTGCTTTGTAGACCAGGCTGGCCTCAAACCCACAGAGATCCTTTTACCTCTGCCTCCCAGGAGCTGGGATTAAGGGTTTGTACCACCACTGCCTGCCTGAAAACCACCCTATCTATCTATCTATCTATCTATCTATCTATCTATCTATCTATCTAT